TTTTAATAATAATATATTTTGAGGTGATATTTTAAAAGTAAAAAAAAAAGAATCAAAAATCAACCGAACCGTACAGATAAAGAGAAACCTATACTATTGGAATGGTTTTGTGAAATCTATTTTTAGTTATACATTATAACATACCCAAAAAATTAAGATGATATAATTTTTTTAAAATAATCAACTGAACCATCCCATTGACCCCTAATTATTACATGTCAACATTCCATGAATCCACTAATTACTATTCTTAGCTATATCTTTCTTGTCCTCCACAAGATTTTGTTTTTCCTTTTCCTCTACAACATTTAGTTAAGTAGTGGACACTACAATCTTTCTATTTCTTGGACAATTACCAGCACTTGGAAAAAAAAAATCATACTTCCTCAGTCTCAATTTATGTGACTTACTTTACTTATTGGTCAGTCCCAAAATGAATGACATATTTCTATATTAAGTAACAATTTAACTATAAAATGTCTATTTTACTCTTAATGAAATGATTTACAGCCACACAAATTTGTATCATTCATTTTGGATCACAAATTTTAAAAGTTTTCTTTTCTTTCTTAAACTCCGTGCCGAGTCAAACTACCTCACATAAAATGGGACGAAGGGAGTACTATTTATTAGCATCATGATCTCATAGAATAGAATAATTACTGTTTCTTCAACTTCCTATAGAATATCTTTTAAAATAGTTATCCGCACTAAGTTAGTATTAACCAAAAAAATTAGTATAAATTATAAAAAGAACACAAACGATTTTTCTAGGTTGTTCTCTAATAGTTGTTTGTTATGAAACTTTATTATATTGTTCTATATTATTTTTAAAAAAAATAATTTACACCATTAAGTGGCGCAATCCTCCATTCAATTAAAAATTAAGTTATTCGCCTTCCTTCCATTTCGCTCCTCACTCTCACCTGTATCTGGCATCCCAGATACATGCAATCATACTAAATACATACAAAAGGTTAAAATAATATAGTTACTTGAAATTGAACTCAAGTAATTTTTATGACTTTGAACAATTTTACCACTTGATCACACATGCTCTTTGATAAAATACTTTTATCGTTTTAATTTATATTCTTCAACTACAATTTTGCATTTCAAAAATTGACCATATCGGGATATCCATAGAATTTTGTAAGATAACTAGTAAAAAACGAGGGACTGCAATGGTTTTCTTTAAATAATATTTAAAATTTATTTGTATTTTTGCTCGAAAAAACCGAGGACATAATCAGTTTTCTATTTTTTTTATAAAAAAAATCAATGATAATCACTTTACCCTATCAGTTTTCTATTATACAAATTGAATAAATTCAGAATTTGTATAATTCGGTTCCTGATTATATAAATTCAAAATTAGTATATGCTTACCCTAGCTATTTGTATATGATTTATAAAAAAAATTCATAATAAATTACCATGTTTGTATATTGGCAAGTGAAATATACAAACAAAGTTCTGAAAAAGTCTTACATGTATAAATACAAAATTTGTATATACTTACATTGTTTGTATATTCACAAGTCAAATATACAAACGGGCAAGCGAAACACACAAACCGCAGCCTCCATTTTTATATACTTACCTTGTTTGTATATTTGCAAACGAAATATACAAACTGCAGCCTCCATGGCAAATGAAACTAAAAACTATAGCTATAGAGCCTTATTATAATATATATTATCTTTGTTATTTCTAAAATTTTCTCCTCTTAATATGTCAATTGCTCCTAACTTGGAGTTGAGAAAAAGTGGATCAACATAAACCAGACCAACTAACCAATTGTTTGACAGTTTCTGATAGGTTAATTGGGCTTATCTATGTAAGCCCAAATTGAACCAACCATTGAAATGGATTAATGTGGTTTTACCCAAATTTATTCAGAAAGTGATTTATATCTAGCCCAAACTTGGAATTAAGGATTTGATAGTTACACTTAACACTTATATATATACCTTAAATAAAAGGAAAAACTACATAAATCTCATAAAACTAATTACATCTTATTCCAGAAGTTTTCCCAATTACAAAAAATTCCTAATTTTTCATTGCTCTCAGATATATTCCTTGGTTGTATGATACAACAAATGATGCATTACTTAATGATAGGGATATATTCGAGAGGGGATAGGGATATATCCAAGAGGGGGATGTATGTATCCAAGAGGGAATATGGATGTATTCGAGAGGTGATTTTTGTAATTTTTTAAAATTGTAAGAAATTTTAGAGATTATGATATCTTAAGTTATGTAATCATGTTATTTTTTCTAAATAAAAAAAAACACATGTTCAAATGCTAATTTTATCTCATAATCTTAGAATCACGAGATAAAATCACATGTCAAAATTTCTACTATTTTTTTTTTACTTATTCTGCACCTTGAATTGTAATTTTGAAACTGAATTAAATCATAACTCACAAATATAATTGCATCACAATAATCTCCGCCAAATAGTCATGAATTGCAACAATGGTCCGTTGAATTAAGTTCAAGAATAGTCCCACATCTTAGGGTGTGGTTGATACGGAGAAAAATATTTTTAATGAAAAATACATTCCTTCTTAACGAGCACACTCTTAATTGAATGCATAATAAACGCAAAATAAACCAACCCATCTCCAAAAAAAATTGCAAGTTGTGTGACACTCTTAATTATATGTTTATCAATCAATGTATCATGAATTGATATTGACATAAAAATTATCTTTGGAAATTTTTTTAAAAAAAAAAACAAGAAAAATGAGAGGAAGTAGTTAGAGGCCCAACTATATTTCCAATTTTTCTTTTCTAGTTTGACATTTGCACATTAAATATATAGTTTTTTGAGCATATTTTGTGATTTATTATAGTTTATAATTGACCAGGACTATTAATTACCAAACCACGAGCATCGTGTTTTAATTTAAAAGAAAAGAATAATAAATTTTACACCTAATCAGGATTACAGGAAAATTAAATTTTACACCTAATCAGGATTAGGAGATTCAAAACAAATTTGTCCATAAATCATACAACTCTATAAACTTTCTAGCTTTTCTCGTTGTTTACGATAAATTTCAAGCTCAAACTACAACTATTTATAAAATATGAAGAAAAAAAAATTATTGATGAATATTTGTGAGTACAATTATGTTTGTTCGTTGATTTTTTATTCAGAATTTTGTTTGTGACTCAAATTAGTAGCTTCTTTATACCTTACGATTTGGACCTCCTTACAAATGTATTTGATCAGTAGAATGTCGGGCAACAAAAGACAATATTTGATGTCTTGATCTCTTTATGAATATTTCAGGAATTTATCGAATTTTGGTGTCCATCGTTTTCAGTTGAAAATGCTAAATTTCATCACCCAAAAAATGCATTAAAAACATTATATTAAAATAAAAACATAAAATGCGGTCCCCTTTTAGTAAAGTATTATTAACAAATAAATAAATCAATAAAAACACATCACTATCTTTAGACTTAGCTAGAAATCACGCATGCTACGTATATACACAAAGATAAAGACAACAACCAACACCAAACACAAAACAAAGAAACAACATAACATGAAATAAAACTAGTAATGTTTTTTTTCTTCTCTTTTAATGGGTCGTATGCATCATGAATCCGAAATAACTATTGCCCAATACAGATACCAACCACCATTCATCAAAAACCAAAAATAACACCGAGTGTTTCACTAAATTCATGTTACCTTCCACCGACATAATTAGGGTCAAATTTACAGTTTTGGCTATGGATTCTTCATAATTCAGTAATTTTGACTCACATTCTATATTTTTACTTTAAAATTAACTTAATATGTATAAATAACTTATAAAATCTAGTAAGTTGGGTTTTCTAGAATCAAGGACTCAAACTCAAAATCTTAATTTCATCTTTGAACACAAATACCGAGTAAATTTGCTCACGAAGGCCTAAACAAATTTTTAAAAAATCACTTATTTTTTTTTCTTTCTCTAAGGATGATTTTCACCTGCTTCATTGATCGTGCCTTCCGTTAGGTGCAACTAATAATGCTTTACATGCCAAAAATCACCATGATTACAAGCTAGATGAAATCATTAACTAGTTACACATGAGATTCTCCAGCTTTTTAACATAATTGGTTTATATACCAAAGTTTTCAGTTTCATAATAATTGCTCTTTTGTTGTTTTATTTTTCACTTCAGTAATCGTATTATTTATTGTTGTTATTACTTTACTTTACGTACATACTTAACGTATGATATGTTTTACTTGAGTCAAGATCGATGTATATTAATAACAATCTTTCTATCTTCACAAGATAAAATTAACTGAGATCGCATACACATCACCCTGTTCAGACCCGACTGATACAAAACACATGATTTGTAAGTAACATGACATGATCAAGCAAAAAGGAGCAAGAAAGTGATAGTTGGGACCCAAATTACTCACCAAATATGCACTTGGCCATATACACAGCTAAGACATGAATGAGACATGTCCACAAAATTTCAATATCATAACCAGTGGTTCAATGTCTGTTGGCTGTTGCTATCTATGCCTTATCAAATGTTACATAACTTCTTGTCATTATTTTTCAAAAGTTCTCTTATTCTAGTTTTTTTTTTTTTTGCCCTTTGCTTAAAACACCCATTGAGCCCATGGAATAGCCAACTTTAACTGTGTTTTCGGTACGAAGTTCACTTATTTTCTTGTGTTCGATATGCAACCAGATAATATTATGAGTTGGGGTGGGTGGTTGTAGAGGTGGAAGAGGAGACAAGCATTTGTTTTCCTACTTTCATTATGAAAGTTATTTCATCATTTTCAAGATACTCGTTTTCCTAAATATTGTAACACAAAAAAAACAAGAAAATATTTTCCTCTGTATCGAACACACATCCTGAGTGAACAATGCAAGGATGAGCAAAACTAAATTTATCACATAACTATCACTAGCAATTACACAAAATGTGTTCACGTTGCATCAAAAAACAAGGTAAAAACACACAAAATACAGTTCACATTAGCCATTTCGAATAAACGATACGAACATAGAATGAAACTAGAAACATTTTGGACAACAAACTTCAAACCATGAACACATGGTGGAGTAATTCTTTAACTTGTTAAGAAACAATAGCAGAGCATATACATAATGCAACAGCTAAAAGAAAAACAGCATCGCCGCTACAATTGCTGCCATGAGACAAGGAAAACAGCAAATGGTTGCAGCTTGACAAGATTACGCGGAAAAGAGCAAGAGAGTGCAGCAAGCACAACAACTTCCAGAGGATCCTAACTGAGGTATATGTCATCAACTCGTTAACTGGGAGATATGAACGAGACATGACTAAAGACTTCAAAAGCACAGCTACTGCTTCAATAGAATGATGGAATTAAGAAGCCATAAGGGGCTTCGATCTGCATTTCTAGCTTACAAGATTCAGGGAAGTGCTCTTTACCACACGACGCTTGAGCTTATTTATTCACAAAAACTTCAGTCAGAACATTATGTCACGAGTGCCAATACTACTAGTACTCGGACTAGTATTAGCAGGAGCATAGAAGCTCAAAGAGTATCAAGTCCTAGAGACTTGGCTTTCACCTTCAAAGATCTCAAGTAACAGATTGCTTCATCAATGACATCCATCGAGTCTTTTCCTTTCCCTCCAGGGATTATTTTCTGCAATATGCTTATCGTCTCGAGAATTTGATCTTTTCTTGGCCTCTTTTTCCCAGATAGAGAAACCAATTCTGAAACTTGATTATTGTGACTGTTCCCACAACTGGATTCTGCATCATCTTCTACGTCGGAACAAGTAAAGGGTTTTGCAGACGTTGCAGTATCCACGAGTGATGGTATATCGCAGCCACCATCTAACTGCTTACGTCTTTTGCTTGGCCATTCTGAACTATTTACTTCTTCACCCATCTCGTCATGCCACGATGGTAGATCATGAGCTGTCATAGTACTAGGCGAGTGCCCTGTACTCACTTCATCACCGTCCTCCGAATAACTATCATCGTCATCCGAGTAGAGTAGCGCATTCAATTCTTCAGTATCCTCGTGCAATTCACTTTCTACATCATCTCTATGATTTTCTTCATAATATTCACCACCGGAGTATTTTTCAGATGGATAAATTCCGTTCCCTAAAATCTGTTGGCCTTCCTTAATCAGATTACAAGGTGCAGGGGATTTTGGATGCCAAGAGGGGAGGCATTGCACAGGAGTACCATTTGGAGAACTGTAAAGTAAAGTTGTTTGATCACCAGATTGATCAAAAACAAGAAATCTTTTCTGCGCAGATCCGGGGCCAGCATTGGCTTCTTCATTTACTCCGGAATTGTCAACTGACTGAGGAGCAAACTTCTCTTTTGATATAGTGCTCAAAACAGGAGCAAAACCCTGATGCAACTGTGGTAAACAGTATAACCAATTGTGAGCTTCAGTTGGTTGGCTTGCCTTCGATTCTAGCAGCCCGGAAAACGAAAAGGGAGAATACCCTTTTACTGGAACCTCGTTCGCGTACGGAGGCATGTAAATAGGAACAGAATTCTGCTGCCCAATATTGAGTCCACGACTAGATAAGTTCGAATGGGCAGATTGCAGATCAGGATACTGGCGACGAAACCACGATACAAAGTCTCTTTCCATTCAACCACAACAATCACCTGATGATCAAACCAAATAACATCCAATAAACCAGATGATCCAAATATAAAAACTTAATCTTCAAAACAATACAATTTTCCAAGAACAGCGAAATTGCAAAACTTACCAGTTCTAAATAACTCAGGTAATACAAATTGCAGATAATTCCTTGTACACTTGAGAAACAACAGAAAATCCAAAAAATTCCAGCTTAACTAAGATGCAGCAACAAGAAAGACGAAAACTACGTGATAGGTTTCAACAACTGTCGGAAATATTCAGCCTGAAATAAACAAGAACAGAAATAAGCTTTCTTCCACAACAAAGTACAAAAAAGGGCAAGATCAAGGATACAACAAATACAATAATGTTGAAATCTTAATTCAAAATTACGAAACATGACGAACGCTAACCTGGCAATCTTGAAGAGGTTGAAAGCATGCTATAACTCTAACAATTATGGTGGCACACCCCGCAATTCCATTTTCATGTTTTAATGCCCGAAATCTTGTCTGGCCAGCTGCTTGACACACCATAACTACTTGTTCCAACCCTTCCACCACAATCTTCCACCAGAACAATCAAAAAGACCAGTGATTTCAAACAACTCCCACCAGAAAATGCTTGGAAAACAATACTACTTCGCACGAATCTTTCTGATAAACTCAACCTATCTCCTAGAAGAAATGACAAAGATAACTACACCCGAAATTATCTTGCAACAGCAAACACTAATATCCCCAATTCAACAACAAAGTTCTGAAGAGGAATAGATTCTCAGCTAATCCTCAGAACGTAACACGGTATAACGATGAAACGTGTGGATCCCATGGAAGATTACTAACAAGAATACGAGTTCTCGAGGTTCAAAAACTGAAAAACTAATCAAGATTTCACAAATAAACTGTTTTTTTTTTCTCAATTCTACAGAATTACATGACAGTACAAGTTCAAGGAGATGACTTTCCGATATACATCAACAGATAGACAGCAACACAGCATACTGTTCCTCAATTTAGACAATAACCTCAAGACTACTGTTTTTCTGTGCTTTCCACCAACTCTTAAGCTCCTGTAAACAGTACCACAAACAACATCAGTTTACAAAGTCAAGAACATCATATGAAAGCATGTTATTGAAAATAAAAAAGTTAAGAATCTTGTAATAGCACGCCTGATTAGTGGGATAATTGAGGGGGTGGGGTAAATTATTACTAATTAGAACAAAGATTTGTACTTTTTTGCTTTTGGTTACTTTAATCTTTGTTTCAGAGATTTACCAGTCATAAATTAAGGCAGTACAAAAGTAGTGTAAAAATTGGATCTTGGAAACATCAGTGTGAATAAGTTTTCTAATTTTTGTCAAAATCTATAGCACAATTTGTAGTATTTAACATAGATCTTAGTGAAAAATACAGCAGAAAATGAAAGAAAAAATCCATAAAATTCAGAATTCAGAACCCAACAATCAAAAAACAAACCCCATGTAATAAAAAACTGATACATAGCAAATAGACTAAAAGAAAATAATCGACAGTACATTATCAAGAAAAAGGGAAAAATCAGAAATTAGGAACTTACAGTGAATGACAATTGCAGAAACAACACCCAAATTGAGTATAATTAAAAACCCAGAGAGATTTTTGAAGGTAAGAGATTAAAAGCAGAGTGAGTTATAGAGAGAGAGGAGAAGTAGAGTACAGTCAAAGATAAGGGTGGAGACTAATATAGACTTACAAAAATGATGAAAAAAAAGAAAAAGAAAATAAACATTTTAAGTCCTTGTTTTGTCTCCGTTGATTTGGAGGGTGATTATCCGTGTGGATGACCAAGACTACTGGTTCCTCCTCAATGTTTTCTAAGTCAAGTTTGTTACATAGAATTTGCCTGATACGATTTATATGTGTTATGTGGTTTGCGGGCTATTATAAAGTGAAAGTTTACCCAATATGTCCAAAGTGCTCAATCGAATGATAGAAGTTGTGACAAAGATTGTAGTCGTTGCGGGTTATTCTATTTTTAAAAAAATAAAAAACATTTTAAACTTTGGTTGCTGAAATTAATTGCTTTCATGCGTGCGAAATGCACGCTTGGATTTGTGTACAATCATATCACCTTTAATTTTTTGTTTTTTATTTTTTGGTCTAGAAGGATTCCACTTGTTTTTTCTTTCTCTAAAAAATAGATCTAAAACATTATTTGGTCATATATTGAACTAGTTTTATTTATAAATTTTGGAAGATGATTTTTCAAGTTAATTGGAGCAAAGTGTAGGCCAATTAAGAACTCTCAGATTTAAAAGATGAGAGTTGTGGAAATAAGAATGTTGAGGTGGATGTGTAGGCATAATAGGAAAGACAATATTAGAAATAAAATATTCGGAACAAGGTTAGAGTGGATTTCGTGATGGACAAGATTAGGGGAAGTGAGATTGAGATGGTTCATACATATGAAGAGGAGATGTGTAGAAGTCCTAATAAGGAGGTGTGGGAAGTTGTCAGTGGTGGGATGAATGAGGGATAGAGGTCGGTATGGGAAGTTCGTTGCTATGTCTACTATACGTTTGTATGTAGTTTTTAAAATTGTTTGGTATGAGTTACTTGTGTCAGAATTTTTAAGAGACAGTCTCTCTACCTTCACGAAATAGAGATAAGATTTATGTATATCATATTATTTCCAAGCCTCGCCTAATGAGATCAGACTAATATTGTGGTTATTGTTGAAAAATATTCACCTTGCTATCCTTCAATTTTTTGTATGTTTTTGTTTACGAAATAGAGATAAAATCTACGTACATCAAATTCTTTTTGTTACATGCTCTCGAAACCAAACAAGACTAAAAAGAACATAAAAATTAGTGGCATTCCTATAAGTGCTTTTATTTTGTTTCTTCAAGACAATAAAACGAAAAAAACATCCCTTTCGAAATCTCAATTTTGATTTAGCATCAAATATCGCTTTGAAAGAGCTTCTTCTTTTTTGGTTATAATGCTTTTATTTCTTTTAATGACCGATATATCTATAAATTTTAGTACTACTAATTTTTCACCTCTATAAATTGAATTTAATGCCCCTTTTTTTTTCCTTTTCTTTTATAAACCCTTTTTTGGGGGTAATTCTACCATTGAATTAGCAATGCTAAAGGGGGAAAGTATCCAATGTGGGAAGAGAACACTCAATCATTTGAAACTTGACCATTCAAACCATGAATGATACAAAGCACAATGTAGGCCCCCTCTAACTAGCTATGGCTACTTGATTATCAAGATTCAAATATTATTTCAATCCACTAACATACTCTTTAACTTCAACTATGAACAAGGGTGTGATGAACCACCAAAAGTTAGGGCAGGGTGATAAGCATCTCTTTATTCAAATTTTAGTGTATGAATTTCAAGAACGAAGTTAATTTAATAAGGAGAGTTTTATCTTTTAAAGTGAGACTTTCTAACATTATTTTGAATTAATCAACTTTAAAATGGAGATGGATTTACATTTTTAGCTCTGTGTGTCCAATCTTTGAAACTTTAGTATTGAAATTTTCATATTTTTAGAATTATGGATTTATGTATATACTATCTATTACAATTTTAATGAATTTATATACATAAATTAATATTATTTCACATGAAAAAGTATTGGATTTTAGATGAATTTGCTATATAAAAGTTGCATCTGTCCTTGTTCCAAAGCGAATATCGATCACTAGGTGAAAATATAATTTGAAATATTCCTTCACGCTTAATTAGACGTTATTAACTAAACTACTGTAAATGAGGAACTTTTCAATAAAATAATTTTACACCTTTTAGTAGACTTGCTTAACTCGAATTCAAATTAATCGATCTACTAAATTTTGAATATCAATAATTGATTTTAAAAAAAATGAGGGGGGGGG